TTTTTTTTTTTCTTTTGGCCCCTCTGCCTCATTTTATATGACATATAATTGCTACATGAAAAATCACATAATTTTTTTCTTAACTACAGTTTTTTCTGGCATGTTATAAAAATATTAAATAAAACCATAATTTGTAGCATTATTATGTAGCTTTTAAAAAAAGAATTAAGAAAAGAAATCAATATCAAAATTCAAACAATAATTCGAAGAAACTTACGGAATAGTGAAGCTATGCCTGAACCAATGGCCAAGTAGACGAACTTAAGGGATATCTGCACATTACATAGAGCATTTGATTTAGTTTTCTTAAAGTTTACAATAAAGGAATAAATTAAATGAAATATAAAATTATGGAAAATAAAAAGGAACTATTTCAAGTAACGGAAAATTTTATTTGATTCAATAGTTCTAGGTACTCTTACTCCTATCTGAATTGATCATCCAAATATTACACCCCAATATTAAAAATAAATATGCTCATCCATAATTATTAGTATTATTTTATTTTCATTCGGTATCTGGTATATACTTTTGGACCAAAGTAATCTAGATTTAAGTGATTAATTGATATGGTGGTATGTATTAATAAAAAATGGCAGCCCGGTGTACAAATCATATCACGTTCACGTAAGGTCCGTCGAAGGGTTGCACCTTAAGAGTGTGACGCAGACAGCCTACCCTAATTCAAGCATTAGTGGTTGTTTTCACGGCTCGAACCCCTAACCCAGTGATGAAGTCAGAAATTTCTCCACGGGTATTCAAACTTGAAAGAAGCAAAAAACAATCCGACAAAGTGTGTTAAATATATATTATATATACATCTAAAACCTAATATTTTACCTATATATATACAATATAATTTTCTGACAAAGGGTGATCAATCGACCACTCTTACAAGAGAAGAGTGTAGCTTCGCCCATGCCGTAACCTATAGGTCACGGGAAGATAACTTTACCGTCGCTCAAGGCTCCCCTTTCATAAGAAGATAACAATAATAATAACGACGACAACAACAATAATAATAGTAATCCGATGAAGTAGGGAAGATGAATATATATATATTACCCCAGAAACTTGATCAAGAATGTTAGATTGGTCTGATTTCCCATAAGAGTTAACAAGGTCACCAAAAATAAGAGACATTAATGGCTTTGAAATTCCAGATGCAATGGCACCCAAAGTTCCCACCAACATCAATATTACATCAGTTCTGTCTGCAAAAGCAAAAAGCATATAAAATGGAACTCTCTGATCATCTTCTTCTTCTTTCCTCCTTGCATATGAAGGCTCTCCTCCTTCTGCCATTGTTTTCTACTTCTAGTTTTGCTTATGAAATGAGTTGAGTTGAAAGCTATATAAATGTAGAGAAAGTGTTGTGAGAGAAGGAAATCCACTTATATGCCTACAAGTCCATTTATAAGCACCCAGTGGTGCTCGGTGTTCAAACTATCTAAGTATTCACGGAGTTTCGCGGAAGAGTCGCATCCCTCCCAAAGGGTACGATACAGACAAGCCTACTCAATGGTTGTTATCCAATAAACTGCGCGCCTCATTCCAGTTTATGTGACACTATTTTCTTTTTAGTTGGTCCAAAAAGAATGATACATGCATTTTTATATTTAAAAATAATTTAATTTTTAAACTTTTCGTTTAATTTTTTATATTCACACAAATATCAAGGCATGTTTAGTCTACAAGTTTAAAAAATCTCTTTTTTTTTCTTAAACTTGTGTCTAGTTAAATATATTCACGTAAAATGAGACGGAGACAATATATAATGACAACCATTTTAAGTTTTCTTTTTGTAGCCTACCGCAATGACGATTAAATAATTTTAATATGAGTTTAACATCTATATATTGACAGTACAAAAGTAGTTTTACACTACACGTATAATTTAGTATTTTATTTACACCGTCATTATATACATAAGTTAAAAATACTTTTTTTTAACTCCATGCACATAATTAGTAGCTCATTTAATTTGTACAGTCAGCTCCTTCTAGAAATGCAATTTGTGGGCTACAGGACACATAGGGTGGATACACCTTTGCCTAGAGAAGAATGTGTGTCTAGATTAGAGTCATATCAGGACCTTACGCCAAATTTTTTCTTTATCCTACATATATTTTAATTAAAATTAAGTTATATACATCGCTCGCATAAATTAAATAATTTTTTTTACAGGATAAGTGTAATTAACATATTATAACATGTTAGTGTTAGTTAACATTTTTCTTCGATTATCAAGTAATATTTATCGTATAAATTACATGCAATTAACTTATAAATGATTTAATCACCATGCATATAACATTATAAGTTAAAATTGTTTCAATTTGTAGTAAACAAAAAACTTATGCTTTTGTTTTCTTGGACCACTAGCTATAAAACTTTGCTGAATCTAGAGAGAGAGAGTTAATGAAAAGTATTCGGCGCAGGAAAATTTAGTTATATGCTAAATTAATCATAATAGGGCTTGTGTCAAAGTAAAGAATTCGTAAATGTTCTTTATATTTGGTACGAATTTATTAGACAAATATATTATTAATTTCACTTTCAGGACTTTAAATGTAGAAGAAAAAGATCTTAAAAGAACAACTATGAAAAGTTCTTTCATTCACTGCTTGTCATGTGTGATTACAACAGGAATATATATATATATATA